TTCATTGTCCAAAAGCATTCATTGCTGAGTATAGATTTTATAGAATCTGATGTATTATTTTGGAAGTACTAAGCAGATGTAATGTGGTAACGTGATGGAACTTATCTTTCATGAAAGTTCTCAGAGATATTTTACAGGTCACTGTTATGAAGTGGACACTTGGAACTGATTGTGGATAACTGCATTTTTAACAAACATAATACTTCAGTGCTGCTTGGAAATGCGAAGGAAATGTGATGCTTTACAAGACACAGGATTATGGAAGTGTACTATACTCAGTAACAGTGATATTTAGAATGGTACAAAGATAAAAAATACCATTTCTAATGTTCAGTGTATAGTATGGAGGCCTATCTATCCTTAATTTAACTCATACACAACCATTAAAAAAAATAAAAAGTATCCAAACGCAAACTAATTTCTAATCAGATAACTTATCTGGGTACATTAACAAACTCCACTGTATGTCTGTGTTTAATTAGAACATATATTGTTTCTTTAATCTTGCAAGCTTGATACTCCACTTTTTTTTTTTTATTCCCCATGACAGAAACACTGAGAGAAAATCTTTGGTTTGTCCCACCTAATGCATGGATTACTAGGAGGCAGGTAAATATATTTATTCGTATTTATACATACATACATACTTCTGTAATGTTCATCTATTGCAGATGCTAGAAAGGTAGAAATTTAACCATATGAACTTGTCAAATATTAAAACTCAACCTTCAGATTTCATGCTAGGTTCAACTGGTTTATGGGCACAGCTTTACATAAACAAGAGACCTGTCACTCAGAGGCTGAAATTAATTAATTTTATTGGTCAGAAAAGTGAAGGTTCATTGGTAGAGTCGAGCTCAGCTCAGCTATAGTGGTGGGCAGTTCTCTTCATTTTGTGGTACATTTCTAAACATCCTATTGCAACATGAAAGGTAACATCATGACTGGAATACATTCATCAATTGTGTTCTGATATTGGTGCTGGTGTTCTGATACTGATAAAGAAACCCTGCTCCTAGCTGTTTGATGTTTTAAAGTTTGATGTGAAACTTCTTTCAGAATCATACAGCATCTGATTTCTCTTCAGAGTCCATTTTAAAATTGCAGTAATCTGTTATCCCTCACATGAAGTGAGCAGGAAGAATGCTATAAAAATTTTCATATAAACGCTTATCTTGAATGTTGGCATTATTAAACATCATCAATCAAAATCAGCATTATTACTAATGCCAAAGTTTGACAGCATTGGAATTGTACTGAAATAATGTCTCAAGACAGGGGATAACAGCTTAGGGATGACTTTGACACTTAGCCATTGCCATTCAGTGCCTTAGTGGTAACCTCCTTGTGTCAGCAGATCAGTGTCATACTGCCCCATAATCTGTTCATCCCAGTCATGGAAATTTTCCTATTTTAACACTGTTGTGGTCGCTATTACAGTTTCATGTGTCAAAACAAGGTGGAAGAGTTCAGCTGATGCACTGCTGTTCAGGGTATGTGAGAGACATTTAGGATGTTTGAGGGCCATAGGAACTACATTATGGTGGTGACAGGAAACTCATAGGATTTTTTCCCCCTTTATCCTATTTTCGTTCTTTCAAAGATTGGGGCAGATGGAGCGGATTTTCACATAATGTTATGGTTTTATGTAAATATGCTAAAAACTTCATTACTAAACTACACAAGTGCTTTTTAAAGCATTCAGATAAAATCCTGAGTATAAATACTGAAATGCAGTGTCAGAGGAAAGCATGAATGGATTCACATGTTATTCTGCAATTGGGGCTGACGGAGCCTGTCTGAACCTTGAAAACTAACATGGAATCAAACTAAAAAATCTGCAAGAAGCAGTGGCAAAAGATTTAAATCAGGTGAGACTGGAAGGCTTTGGAAGGCTTCTGCTGTAGATTCCAAGTCGTCATCTCATTCCAAGCCCGCTGTGTATCATTACCCCTTGCACTGACGTGACCTTTTATTCAACCTAGGCTTGGATGACTTTTGTGCTACCTTCCAGGAAAGGATTTTTTTTTTCTTTTTGCAGCTCCTTCTCTTATTCATTCTCAGAAGAGGATTAAATCCTCCCTCTGACCAAGCACACAGGCATGCTAAAGGGAAGCCACTTTACACTCCTGGCCAAACATAGAACAAAAATACCCAAAATAAGCAAAAGCAGATGGCTTCAGGGGCAGGAAATGAATGAGCCAGACTGCAGGTAAAATGGCTCTCTGAACACATCTCAGAGGTTTGTCATGACAGGTTCTTTGTTATCTGGGGCCTCCCCACAGGAGGCCAGATGTCTTCTGTTGTGAAAGGAGATAGATAGAGATGCTCTTCCTTTTCCTCCCCCTTTAACTTATGGCTGTTTAAGTTACTGCTAATGGAAGTAGAAGCCTGTTTTTCCCCTTACTCTCTGATGTTTTTGGAAACAGAAGAGATAGTTACTGAAGGGGTATTATGATATGAAAGAAAAGGCCCAGAACTGGCCTTTACCTCCCCATGACCCTCATTTTAAAGAACGAGGAGGTCAGTGCTGCTAATTGCACTTGAAAGGATTAACCACTTGATTGCTTTCATTTGGCAGAACAGCACTATTCTTTGGTCTAAAAGCTGGAAAATGTACCAGAGGTGCTGGGACATTTTTAGTGTGAGGTGGATAACTTGGCTGGTTCAGCTTATACCAGTATTTAAATTAAAGGGTGGATTTAATTTTTTTAATGGAGGGGCGAATGGAAGATGAGAGAGAAGGGGGAATTACATCTGCTGCTCTGACAGGACAGGTTTGCAGCTGAAGTGACAATAGCCTCCTTCCTGCCCCCCGGAAAGGTTATCACAGGAGTATCAACAGGCCATAATTAATTACGGACATTAGATGTGCCTGTATCACTTAGCCGAAGAATAAGCAACGCTGGAAGAAAAAGTAAAGAAAGAAAAGAAAAAAAGAAAAGAAACCCAGTTTCTGGACACATGGTGTTCCAGATTTAAACTCTTTTCTGTACATTGATTTCATCCAAGAATTAAAATTAATTTACTTTTGGAATAATTTTTTAATTCCCATTGTTCAAATAAAGCGAGGTACACAAAACTTGAATTTGGAAAACAGTTTTAACCTTACGAAACTATTTTTCAAAAGTAACGAAGACCAGCTTATATAAGCTTTTATCTGACCTCTACTTCTTAAATAAAAAAACATGTTTTCAGGGAAATGTGTCTTGGAAGTAACTCCCCCTCCCCCCAGATTTTTCTCTCTGGTTCTTGTAAAACATTAGGTCAGTGGGTTCATTTTATTTTTGTTTGTTTAAAAGCGGGTGAAAGTTTCCTTCTCAAACTATTACACTTCTGTGATATTTAGAAAGTATTAAAGCAATCTTTGTTTAAAAATTACAAGAACAGATGAAAATGTCAAAAGACTATCAAAATTCATACCAGAGGAAATAGCATTAATCGTTGTAAAAAGGCAAAATAACCTCTCAATAGCAATAAGAACCAAATGAGTAAGAAGTGTGTTGTTCCAATAACACTGAGACATGACTGCTGATTTTTCTCCCTGGCTGGCACATGATCTCATAGCTTATTTAGCAGCTGTGCCATTATATGTGGCTAGTTAAAATTCTGTTTCTCCTACTGACTTCCAGTCTGTTTCTTGTAGTGTTGTCATAGTTCACCTGCACCTCATCTGCATCCACGTAACTATCAGTATTTCTTTCTGCAAATGGAAGCACAGGTGTGTTTTGGTTGTCCAAAGAAATGCACCTTTTAAATGCATTCCCTTGTGAAGATGAGCACAAACACTAGAGGTAAGTATGACTTGCAGAAAACTTTACCTGTAGTTTGTATTTCAAGCAAAATTTATTTTGATGTATTCAATAACTTGATGCATTAAAAACAACACAATACAAATTAATTGTTAGAGACTGTATGGATTTGCATAAGTGTAAAAATAATTTTTAAAGTGGTTTTCGAGACACTGTTTGTGTGCTGACCTAGGTGTGAGGGTGCCCTCCTGGACAGTACTTTATAGGCAATAATGTAACCCAAATTAGTTGAGAAAAATGAAGACAAGACTTAAGAGTTTTTGTTTTAAAAAGTCTTTAATAATTTTCCAAATTGTGTCATTTGTACAAGATTATTTTTTTCATTCTCTAACACACATCTGAAAATACATAAAAATATTTTCAGACAGAAGTGCTTTCAGACAACCCCAACAGTGCAATTAGTCCTTTTACCTTCTTAATATACAAGTATAAGACATTTACAGAATTTTGTTGTCTGTGATATGCCACAATGAGAGAAGTTACTGCTGCTAAAAATAATCATAATATATAACAATAACAAAAAGAAGTATAAGGAAATTCCTTTCTTTTGGATGAAATCTAAAATCATTCAAGAAGTTTAAGATGATCTTAATACAAATATATGTGAATGATACTTTACAGAAATCATGGACTGTGGAACGATGTTTAAACAGACAGCTTGTTTCTATTCCTAGGACAATTTTTCACAAGTTCTCAGAAGAATATTTCATTTGTATGCCATTCACTCAATTAATGTGGCCTTTCTTTTTATCTTCTTTTTCACCCTAATTAATACCATCCTAATCACTTCAGCAAGTTTTTGATGTTGTAAAAGTAAAGCCAGTCCAACTGGATTAAAACACGAAGAAGTCATTTGAGCTTTTTTTTTTTTTTTTTATAAAGCAATCGATTCTTTTTAGTTAGAGAGATCACCCTTAATGGGATGAGAGCCAAATCTTCCAGTCCCCACCTCAGCCTATCCTTTCACTGTGCCTCACAGATTAGGGCTGTACATTCAAACATGGCATATTTAGCAAAGCAAAGCTGGTTTAAGATCATTTTTATGGGTTTGCTCATCTGAGTCATTCTACAGCCTTATATGTGCACCACATGAGGTCTTCGGTTTACATTTGGAACAACACTGTATGTATTAAGAATACAATCTGTTTCCAGACTACAAATAGATAAGAAGTAGTTGCGTTTGTGCAGTTTATCCTTACAAAAGAAACACATATTATGTTACTCACCTATGGATTGTCATCTTCATTTATTCTTTGCCTGCACAACCCTTAGCATTTTTAATCAATGTGTACATAAATGAAAAGAAAAAAAGCATATTATCATATTGTCCTTTGTAGTTCTCTTTCAAAATCTCCTGATGATAGTCCACAAGAAAATAGTAAATTGCTTCTATTGTGGAAAGGTACGTATCTGGTTTTCCCTTCTGATGACGCCAAAAGCAAGTTTTTCTTGTTTTCAACTCAATTTGTAGCAGCCCTGTCAAGAAAAAAAAAAGATATAAATTAGATGAGACGGATTGGTTAGGGCACCAAACAAGTCTTTGATTCTGTTTGGTTTTGAACTTTGCAACTAGAATGCATGAAAACCATTTCTCTCTCTCCATATTATATGTGTGTGTGTGTGTGTGTAGATAGATAGATAATCTGTTTTCCACCTGTAAAACAGGGTTAAAATTCTCCTTTGTAGATCATAGTGAAATTTGATGGAAGATGCTGTAGGAGCTAGGTTAAATCCCCACACTTCTATTTTGAAATGGGTGGAGTATCTGTTCATCCAAACAGCTTCACTTGACTGTTTGAACTGCATTTTGGATACAGGGTCTGTCTGACCACATGGCACAAGTGAAATGCAAACCTATTACTGATCAGCGTTCACAAGGTCATGGATGAACGTCATCTTTGGCAATGTTAGTAATTCTGAGTGTAAAACAGACTGCCATGGCTTTTCTGAATTCTCTTATTTCTTTTGCTAAGAGCTAGACACTTATTTTATGCTTGTTAAATAACTGTAATAGTTGCACTTGGATTACCCAGGAGCAAGAATGATAAAGTCTCACTATGCATAGGCATAAAGGTACCATATTCTTGCAGAGCTGGATGCAATAACAGAAACTATGAATGAAAAAAAAAAAAGAAAAAAGGAAATTAGAAGAGAATCTATAAGCTGATATAAGACACTTGGCTAATCCAAAATAGGTCAAATTTAGAGGGGGAAAAAAATACCAAAGCAATCCATTTAACAATCACGTTGATGTTGCCAATAGGTTTCAGCACTCCTAAAAAAGTAGTCATTAATACTAAATATAACTGCTTCCTTTCTCATTTAGTGATCATTTCACTTCTAATGAAGTAATCAATCCTCAACATTGCCAGCTTTCAAATATTTCCTGTCTTTAATGCATCTGATTTGGTTTTGCTTTTCTAAGAAGATACATAAGTATTTTGTTTTGTCCAGGTTTTCTAGATTGCCGACTTTTAAGATTGATAGACTCAATTGCTTTCTCTTGCAGTGCACTTAGCTAGATTTACTCCATATATCAATCCAGCCTTACAGAACACAGGCTTTATTTTTACATTTTCTTGGCTTCATTAATGATTTCCATGCAGTATTTCTACTAACTTCATCTTTTTGAATAAGCACTGCAGTAACTTCTTATTTGGCATTGCAAACATTCCTTTTTGAACTCCAATATCTCAGGAATATTATCTTAGATGATGACTTTATTTGTAGAACTGAAAAATCACAGCAGTTCTCTAGTTTTCATGTACATATGACATGCATGGTGCTGCAGTTTATTCTGATTAAATTTTGTCCCCATCCATTTTGAAAGGCAAAACAGCTTTCTCTAAAAGGAACACATATGCAACTTGTATAAGAGGTAGTAAGGAAAGTGATGAATGTACCAGATACATAGACTACATGTACCTGCTCTAGGGAGGAATGTATGGAATTTTCCCTTTGGGCTGGATAAAACAGAGTCTGACTTGCATGGCACCAGTCACACCTCTTAGAGTACTTCTGAAAGGAGTGGAAGGTGCTCAGGGAAACAGAGGGCTGGGATATAGTGAGGACAGAGACGAAGCTCTCGGAATGAAGAAGGCTCCATTGCATCAGCATCCACACAGGCCCAGTGGAAACTATGTTGTAAGGGCTGTGAAGTAATTATCACTAACTTTTGGCTGATATACTGCAAAAGCTTTCACAGAAATCCTCAATTCCCTATTGCCTGTTAATTCCGAAGTTCATCCTTTCTATAACAGTTTCAAAATACTTTATGGTAAATTACAACATCCAGTGTCTAATCTTTACATTCATTTACTTGATAATGTTTTGTGTTAAACTAAATATTTTGTAACAGCATTTTAATTAGGCAGTTATACCAACACGTGGGACTCTAATGAGCTGGCTACATAGCAAGGCAGCATTTATCTTCCACCTGTGAAAGCTCTTGCTGGGGTCAGTGGAAAGCAGGCAGTACTATGTGTGTTTTTTTTATATATGTGTGTGTGTATATATATATATTATACACAGACATATAGATAAAAAAACACAGACACTACCAGCTAAGTGCACCTTTTAAACTATTTTCAAACCCCTATGTAAAAAAAAAAAAAAAAAACACTGCTAAATTATATATTTTGTAGCTTTATAGAAAGCAATTTACTTAAATGTAACCTTCTTTAATGAACCTAAGACAAAGAAATAGTTTGCAGAATTCTGAATGTTGGCTTTCAAAGATGGGAGGCTGTTGGAGGCAGGCAGTCACTCCTCTTTTGAGTGGGTAATACTGATGTCATTGAAGAGACTATGAAACAAAGAACAAGAAAAAGGAAGAACGCACCTTAGCCAGTGGCCTCTCTTCTGAAAAGACAAAACATGCCAAGAAAATTCTCCTGGCCTTAGTTTACTAGGAGATGAAAAACAAGTCCCAGAGAGTAACCTACAAAGGAAATCTTTCTGGCCTCCTGCACAGCTCATTTAAAGCACTACTGTTCTTCTCTACTCTCTAACATGTCAGCTTCCATTCACTGAGAACCCCCCTTTTTTTTTTCTTTTACCTTGAAGTCGTTCATCAGTTATTATTTTGTTAGTTTGATTCCAGGTACTGTCAATAAATACTATTTTCTTCAGTCTAGTGCTTTCCTTCCTGTTGCTTGAGACGCATTCCTCTAAATGTTTTTCTTCTTCGGGTTCTATTTTTGCTTGCTTAAGAAATGGCTCTCTGGAACAGTCATCGTCATTGTCACAAATGCTTTTCTTAGCATATTTTTGTAGATGGAGAGCAATATCTTTCACTGAAATGGAATTGGGCCCAGGAAAGATAAGTGCTGTCTAAATTAAGAAAATAAAGAAATCAGAGTGTTATCAAAATACTAAGAATTACTTCATTTAAAAAAAGTATTCATCACCACCCACAAACATTTAAGACAGTAAAAGAGGAAAGCGAGCATCTCTTATGTCTAAAAGCATAAGAAGTATTAAAATAATGAGTATTAGAATATTTCATAAATGTCATTTCATGTCTTTAGTACAGACTTGAGTATTTCTGTAAAATACATTTTTTTTTTCGTTTTGTAGCTCACTTTTTTTTCTCCCCAGGCTGTGTGCTGACTTAGCAAGACAACAGTTACATTTGCTGGGTTTTCTCTGTAATAGTGACTGTTATAAATTTTAGAGTTTAAATCCTGCAGGAGCCACACACGATCAGCGGGACACCTAAGAATGTTTCACTAAGTTGAATACCTTCACAAGTTTGGGTAAAATAGTCCTGAGAGTACTCAATGAATCAAATAATACACTCAAACTATAGGCTGGTGGCACAGTCCATAACCACACTTGTGGTGTGAAAGAGTACAGAATATGTATCAGCATTTCCCCAGCACAAAGCCCTGTATGGTCCTACACAGTATTTCTTACTTCATGCCTTTTTTCTTTGTATTCTGGTATGCAAGGGTATTTATAAATTGTAACATCATCAGGTGCCAGGAGCTTAGCATGCACAGCAGTGCTTTTGCCATCAGTTTCATTTGGGTGTTTAATAATGTCAATCTTCAAAGGTAACTGCAATAAGGAAGTAAAAAAAAATAAGATTTAGGATCCATATGCATGTCTACATATAAAACAAAATATAAAGCAAAAATTCATCAGAAATCCTTCAGAGTATGTAATTAACACATACTTGCTTCAGATAGTTTCATTAAATGTTTTTTGGTTTCATGCATTTAGAAATAAAATAGAAATTAGAAATTCTAATTTAGAAATAAATTAGAAACAAAAAAGTGAAAAAAGCTCCTCATTCATCTGAACAGCAAACATACAATGAATGGGATCTGGAATGGTGCAGCGGGAGGGTAATAAAAGTGGTAGCATTAGGTAAAGAGTAGGTGATTAGATATCAGGTAAAGAAGATACAGGTTTACATTTAGCAATAAATGGTCCCCAATATCAGTATGCATCTGAAGTAGATATTCATCTTATTGCAAAATTAAAATACATCTAGAACCAATAGGTCAAATTTCCAAACTTCTAATTTACTTTCACAACGCTTTCAAAGTGTTTTCAAAATGCACTTTTTGTTCCTGGGTGATTCTGGAAAATTTATCTCAGTCACATTTGATTTCTCAAATATATTTAGAGATGAAGCACGTTCAATTTTAGAAATAACCATTTATAAAGTAAAAATAAATAAGTATCTGACTTAAAACACCCTTTACATTTAAGAATGCTTTTAGTTCACATTTTGTGTAAAATTCAGCATTCTTTATGGACAAGTGATACCATTTGTTACCAGTACACGCTGTTCTGGCCAGAGTTGCTGCAAACTGAAGAATGACAGTAAGAGCGTAAAGGAGCTTTTGAAGATTAAGTGCAAACACAGTCATCTGCATGACAATCCAAGTAGCTTCAGCTTATCCTTTTCATCTAAGGAATGCTGGCAGGGCTTGTACATTTAATTCTTTAAATAAGAACAATAATTTTATCTAATTATAGTTTATTCATACACAATGGCTACTGTGTTAAAGATAACGCTCCTAAAAAAATGCATCAGAAAAGAAGGGGTCACATGCACCAGCTGCCTAACACGCACAAGATACTAGAAAAAGTATGTAAGAGATATTAACCTTTACAACCGGAATTTCTTTGGTAGGGACAGTTTCAACAGGAACAAAGCATGTGTAACAGTAAAACATCCTGGAACTGCTGCATCGTGGACACTTTGATCTTCCACTCTTCTTTGCCTTTTCAAGTACTTCCTGCGATGCTAACTGTAATTTTTGAAGTGGGTTATCTTGAAACGATGATGGAGTCTGAAATTCTGGACTTTCTAAATGTTTAGTGTTTGGTTTTAGTCCTTGAGCATTTTCTTCATTTAAAAGTGTAGATGAATTTAATGACATGGTTAGCTGAAAGAGACAATATGTTATGCCTGATAAATAAAAATCTGACATACAATGAACACATTTTCTGGAAATTCCATATGATCTTATTTAGTTAAAAAAATACTCATCAGAGTATCCTCCCTATACTGAATTGGGTGTTTTTTTTCTTTTATTATAGCACCAGGAACTCCAAACAGCTTTCCACATAGCATCATATCAACAGGTCAAAAAAACCCTTGAAATCTTTGTTCTTAATGCATGCACACATACATTCATCATTTTACCTGATAAAGTATCCCACTAACCTCAGTTATTAATAAATGTAATGTTTTAGGATAGGCATCTTTTTTGTTTGCTGTGGCTTTGTCTGCTGTTTGTTGCAGCAAATATGCTGGTGGACTCTGCTACCTGCACATGCTACTTTTCACCACTAGTTTTCATTAGGACAACTGACAGTGAATTAAATGCCTGCACGACAGATGACCATAATAAGAGAGAAGTTTAGATCTCTGTCTTAGATTCATGAAATAAACGATACCTTTTGGGAATAAGGATTGAAAAAATTAGGCTAAACGACTAGAAAATGAGGCTAAAATCTGGCTTTGAGGCTCCACATACTGACAGGAAGTGCCAGCTCAGGCTGGACTGACTCTGCAGGCTGCAATTCATATTTGTTTTAAAAATTTTAATGGATTAACATTTTTTTCCTCAAGGTTTTATTCAGGATGGACATTATCTGACCTTCTGCAGTTGGCATAAAGTTTCTTCAAGTAACTTATCAAGAAATGCTTGTGTCCGCCCACACCTGATCCACATGGAATTAGCTCTGTGTGCTGAGATTCATTTTCCTGATCCCAGGTACAGCAAAACCCTTTGGACTAGATTAGCCTTGCACTAGCATTTTCTTTCCGTTAATTAAAGTTTGCTTTTTCTCGTCACAGATTTGTGAAACGATGCAACAGTCACCGTGTAGCAAATACAAACACTAATTCCTGGGACATGATCCAAAGGGAAGTGTTTAAATAAAGCCACGCGTAGCTTAATTGAAAAACAGCAAAAACAGAAGACTTGGCTAATCCCCCCTACACCTGTCCCCGCCTCAGAGCGAACCCACCTGCGCGCAGCGCCGGAGCGGCCGCAGCGCCGCCGGCCCCGCGCTCAGATGGCGCCTTGGGGCCACGAGAACCGCGCCCAAGGAGCCAAGTCCAGCGGTTGCGCACGGCAGAGCCAGGCCTGGGCCCAGGGTGGCCGCTCCCCGGG